AGAGTCTTCTCCAGCACCATAATTCAAAATAATATTTTCTTCAGCGCTTGGCCTTCCTTATAATCCAACTCTCACAGCCATACAGTACTACTGGGAATACCATTGCTTTGACCATACGGACTTTTGTTGGCAGGGTGATGCCTCTACTTTTTATTATGCTATCTAGGTTTGCCATCGCTTTCCTCCCAAGGAGCAGGTGTCTTTTAATTTCATGGCTGCAGTCACCGTCTGCAGTGATCTTGGATCACAGGAACATGAAGTCTTCATGACAGACTTCATGTTGGACATACAAAGAAACAAAGCATTACTAAGCACAAAGACCCTCTTACCACCTTTTATATCCAACAGTGTTCTATTTTTGACCTCCTTCAGAGTGGTACCTGGTCATTTTTAAAAGCGTCCTGGTTGGGATTCAGTTGTGCCTTTCTTCATTTGAACGTTACTAACCCAGCCTCTGTGCGTAGGAATGAAAAGTTTTAAATGTTGATACATTTAAATGAAGTAATATGCAGCCGGTGAGCAGTGACCATTTTCCCCACTCTAAGTGGCTGGCAGAAAAAGATGTAAGGAAAAAGAACTTGCTGCAGATATGACATTCGATAAAAATTCTTAAATTGCACTATTAATCCTGTTAGACAGTCTGACAGTGGAAAAATACTTTGTCCCAAATATTGCGTTCTTGCTGCTTTATAAGAAAAAAAATGTCATTGTGTCTTGTCATTGTGTCTCAGTAACTATTGTTGCTTTAAATCACAATAACTTTCAAAAGGGTCTATATGCTTTACCCTAAAATTACTATCTCAGTAAAAGAGATATACTTTTTTTAGAGATACCCTCTTAAGTAAATTGAGTGAAATGTTGGGATGCCTTTTAAAATTTTGGAATATTCTAGCAGAAGAGCCACATAATGATCATGTAGTGCAGTCATCAAGCAATGAAAATCCATGATACATTGCACTTTGCCATGCCCTAGCATCCAAGATCTAAGTATGCAGTGAATTTTAAAACTAGCAAGGCATTATGGGCTTGATTTGACGGCTAAGGGCAAGCAGATGAGCTTCACCTTTTTGTTTTGAGCTGACCTGCTCCTCCATGAGCTTTATAGGATATATTCCATCATCATTAGAAATCCTGTACAGTTCGGTAACCCTGATATAAAGAAAGTTTGTATAATTTAGGTTCCAATGAAATTAAAAGGTAAAGTCACTGGAGCTTATGTAGTTTTTCATTAGCAGAAGTATTTAATAGGTACAATGGCCAGATCCAAAGGTTTTATGCAGAGAACACTCTGCATGCACCAAGGTTTTTTGGATTCCCCCTTCCCACTGCAGCTCTTCATGCCTCCCCAAAAGCTACTCCTTAAGGATGGAGGACCCTCTAGAGTGGGATTCAGTGTGATATGTGGCTACATCTGGAGGTAAATATCACCAGCCTCATCATGCTACCTGGATGGACTTTCTGCTTTGCATGTGTCAATGGATGGTGAGTGGATCCTGATCTGGCTATATTTGAACTCACATTTAAACCTTCCTACAAACTGTTTGGATTGCACTCAGACACTGATATATGATTGCTGTTACACAACGAGTAAATGCTGTGGTTTACTTGTTTGACTATCTGTACTTATTAGAAATTGCACTAATGAGTACTTCCTGTTTCTAATGACTGTTTAATCAAAGCAATAATTTAGTGTAACGTATAGGGTTTTTCCCCGTTCAGTGGTGCCATCTTGTCTTTAAGACAGAAGTGGAGTTTAACTTGGCAACACATACTTCTATTTAGGGTTGGCTAATTTTAGGCTCTAATATCCTCTACGAGTTTCTACATCATCATTGCTGTTACGTTGAAGATCTTGATACACATTTTTTGTGAATTTCAAACGACCACTGAAGAAATACAGTTTGCATGAAATTATATAAAACGTACACCTCTTGCAATGCCGCTCAAAGCACATTGATTTCAAAAGTGCATAAAAGTCATGAGTGTGTGTGGCAGGCGACATGTTCAGCGCCTGGCTAAAGGGCATTCATTGCATTGCAGAAGCCTGTGAAGCCCTCACTGGTGATATTCATGTGGCCTTTGCTGCATTCATCAGGCAATGACTATAGGAACTGTTTGCTTCACTGAACCGTGATAAACAATTACCAGCTTGAATTCTTTCTTCTTCAATTAAACTGTGTGTGAAACGACCATATGGATCCAGTTTTATAATTATTTGGTACTTCCACTCAGGCTTTTAGCTGACGCACAGCATTTTAATTGGCTCACAATTAGAGGTCACAAGCAAAGAACTTATACTCAAAGTCAATAACACATGAAGCTTTCAGAAATTAATATCAGTTTTAAATATTTCAAGGTTTATTAAAAAAAAACACTTGGGAACCTTTGGCCATTATCCGTGTTGAAACGCTATTGAAATCCATGGTGCTGGCATGATTTGAGATTGACCTGTCCCATTCATTTCCGCAACACTTAAATTGAACCAACTTTCTCTGGGCTGGGGTCATTCTGTATAAACTATTTCTTTTTGTTTCTTGTACCCATGACTGTACTTGGCCACTATTATGCCTATAAATATTCCCTATGGAGAGCAGGTGCCATGATGATGCCATACAGCTGACACATAAACCAGACCTCTAAGGAGGTTGGAGATGGAGAATAATTTAGTTGGCAAAGTTACACATGGATTCAATCCATGAAGCAGGATATTCCTCTGAATTGGGGATGTACAGATGTATTTTTCTGTTCATTTCTTTTAATTTGTAGTAAAGAATGTATGCTAAAGAATGTGCGTTTATATATTCAGAAGTAGCCCAATACAATCATAATAGAATTAGTAGCATATTTGAAAATTGAGTTAAACTTCATAACATTGAAAACACAAACTTTCCCACAGTATATTATCACAATTCAGGTTATAGCATCTTAATTGCTGACAAAATAAGCAGTATTTAAACTATGAGCATATCTTTCAAAATATGTCTCTAAAACATACAAGAGAATTATGATTATCTAATGCTGTAGATTTGCATTGCATAAAAATATTCATAGTGATGAAAACCTTTTCTTAGAAGATGTTTCACTAATAGAGAAAATATTTCATAGGAAACTTTTCTAGCAGTCCCCCCAAATTTCCATTTTATCTGTTGTAAAAGTTGAAAAAAAGTCCAGGGGAGAGGGTCTATTTACTCAAAATGAAGATGACCTTGAGTGTAAAATGACACATGGATGTAAATGTAGATTATTCCCCTGTTTTAATGGCATACTAGGGGGGGGGGGGGCTAGTCTTGAATTGGAGTAATTGGAAGTCGTCCAAGGTTATCCAATAAGCACTGTGACTGAGAGGGAATTTGAATCCAGACCTCTCTGGTCCTGGTTTGATGTTCTAACTACCATACCATACTAGTTCTCCAATGTCTTCCAGCTTTATGACCATATTGCCTGCAGTGTTAACTCCTTTGGTTTGTTGGTTTGTTTTTTTTCCCTGAAAATATATAGCTAGGAAGAAAAGCAAAAAAAGGATATAACTGACTTACCATAGTTATTTAGTTACATGGTTGGGTCTTTGCACCGTCCACATTTGCATAGATGTCAGAGGAGTAATGTGAAGACTTTGCTAGCAGTCTCTTTATCTTCAAGGTTGCAGAACCAAAGTTGGAAAGATATGAAACTGAAGGCCTAACTAACCAAGTATCCACAGGTCATGCCAACACTGTTTTAGAGAAGAATTTGGCTATTTAAAAGTGCCACAAGGATCCTGTTTCAGCCTGCAGTGTGGCAGATGATCTTATCCTTCCCCTCACTTTTTTGAGTGCCAATACAGCGGGGGGGGGGGGAGTTTGGACCCATGAATGGTGTAACATTTAGTTTGGCCCTGAGAAGATGTCAGTTGTATCATTAGTTGTAGCAGGTTCCCCATTACATATTCTCCCTATGCCATGGAACAAACTGGCATCCGGCAGTCTGCTAATGTTTTATGAGTGAGCACACGGGCAGGAGTCTTACTTGCGGCTCATCCTGGTCACATGGCTTCATTTTACGTGCAAGGGTTACCCTGTCGTGCCAGAGGAAGAGACAATCTCCTCCCACCCCAGTACAGCATGACTAGCAAAAGCTTCAATTAACCTGCCAGCAAATTGCCTGAAAATGGATCATATACAATTATTTCTGCATCATTGCAATTGTCTCCCTATGACTCACTGTGCTGTATATAGTAACTTTTCTTTTGAGGAGATTATTTTATTTCTACCAAGGGGCATTTGAGAGAAAATATATTAAATGTCAGGTTTTTCTGTCATGTTTGCACAGACTTTCTTTAGCAGTGGATGAAAATGTGGTATGGCTGAAGCATTAGATATAATCCACTTACTGTTATCTCAGTTTGTTAAAAGACATGTTAAAATGCATAACTGATATCTACACTCTCTTATACCCCCTCCCCCTCCCCTCAACTGTTTTCATGAACAGATCTTTTTGTTCTATCATCTCTCTTATACCCCCCTCCCCTCAACTGTTTTCATGGACAGATCATTTTGTTCTATCATCCTGTAGGATTTGGCAGTATGATCATGCAAAGGAATGTTGTTTATTGCATTCCTCACTTTTTTTTTATTCTTGCAAAATCTTAATGTTGGCTCTGAACAGCATTCCTTTGTGATACTCCAGAAAGTGGACCAGAGAATTGTGCTCACACATTCTTAGCCTTAATTGATAGCCACAGTGTCATCAGCTTCTTTAGGAAACAAGAAATTATTTTGCTGGAGTTTATACTGTTTTCTTGCATATATAAAAGCCAGTTTTCCATTTACTATTATATTATTTTGTCTCTGTCATTTTTTTTCCTGTTCGGTAGAATTATGTTTTTAAGTTGTGATTTTGCTTACTTACCCCACTTTTACTTTCTATATACACTAATATACTAGATGCACTTCAGACCATGTTGTTTCCTCAAGTATCAAGAGAAATTTCTATTGATAGTCGTTTTTCTTTTTATGTTCCAGGTTTTGGGGTTTGAAATTGATAGTGTGAACTCTGTCCAATTTTCAAATCACACAGGTATGAATATATATTTATATTATATTGAAATAAGTGCATTGATTACGAGACATGGCTAAATTCCTTGGGAGACTGGGGATGTACAATCAGATACTCAGACGTGTAGCTTAACTGCAGAAACCAGCAGCATGGGTGATACTGATCAAAGCCACAGTGCAGGGGGAGGAGTTACACCCCCAACCATTTTAAGCACTGGGAAGGAAAAGAGATGGATGCAATATAGCCCAGGGGGACACTTAAAAAAATATCAAGATAATGGTTAAATCCCTCTTCCTAAGGGGTCCAGGCATGTAATTTAGTTGCAGAAAGCAACCACAATCTGTAATGGATATATCCATATTGTAACCATGTGTAGGGATCTAATCATATCCCAAGCATCACATGACATTTGGCACTTATTCTATTTTTATGGGTGTTAGCTCATAATCTCTCATCCACTTGATTTCATAAGAACTGCCTTGCTGGATCAGACCTTGTTCTGGATCAGGCCAAGATCTGTCATACCAAGATGCATCCAGTCCTGTATTTTGTCTTCCTCAGTGGCCAACAAAGATCCTTGCAAGTTCACAAGCAGGGCATTAAGGGGGATGGCTTTTTGTTGTTGTTTGTCCCCAGCACCAGATATTCAGGTGTATATATATATATAGTCCAAGGGAATTTAAAAAAATGAATGAGCTTGAAGTGCAAAATATTGAAATAAGTTCTCAGTGTTGTGAGTTCCTAGATGAAGAACCGTTTCTCTGTTTGTGGTTCAAGTGCTAGGCAATGAGACATTCCCATGCCTGGACATCCACAAGTGAAATCTGTGTTTTGAAAGGTTAGACTTAAGACAGTGTGCACCAGATTGTTGATTTAAAGGCTACCTGAGTTAGCTTGGAGACACTGTATACAAGGTCAGGATTGCAGTAATACTTATAAAGTGTGGTCATGTAAGCAAAGCCTGAACAAACTGATAATTGAACAGGGGGCATAGTTCATTTGCATTCTTGCAATTTGTTGCAAAAGCTGCTTAGTCTGCAGGTTACCCTGAAGATACCAGTTCAAGGGGATCTGTCTTTGGAAGCTGAAAACCATAGACTGATTCTAAGTACTCTAAGGTTTTTGATTTACTTATAACTTCAGAGCTAAGCTAATAATTTTGTTTATAAACTCAAGAACTGTGTCAAGAGAATATTCTTTTAAATAGAATGTTTCTGGTTAATATGATTAAAATACAGAATAATAAATGTAAGTTAATTTCCCAGGGCATTGAAAAGGATTCACAGCATTTGCAGCAATTGTAGTTCAGCTATATTTATTTATTTTAGCATATTTATACCCCGCCCTCCTTGCGAACGGGCTCAGGGCAGCTTACAAAGTTGTTACAATGTACCTGGTATACATAAAACAATTAAAATATTTTAAACAGTTTAAAAACAGTTAAACAATCATACATTTAAAATGCTCACAGTACTGATTTCCATTTATTAAGCTTTGAATGGTGCGGCCTAAACGACAATCACAGTTCCCCCAGTTTCCCCCTTCAGCGGCCTTCTGGCCACCTGCGGAGACATAGCTGTATCTCTATCCCTATCCCCAGGGCCAACCCTATCCACCTCGATGGTCAGATGGTAATAATTGGTGGTAGTGGTAGTGGCGGCTCCTAGTTGAAAGCCTGGTGGAAGAGCTTTATCTTCACTTTATCTAAATGAAACCCTTTATCCAAATGCAGCCCTTATTCAGCAAATCACCACTCTCAAAGATCATGGTGGCTAAAGAACATTGCAATATGAACTGTTGCACATGCTCATTGGCAGCATTGCTCCAGGAACTGTACATTGTGTACAAAATACTACATCCAGGAGTAGTTCTTTATTTTTACAATCTCCACTATGGGTCTTGATCCTGTACCCTAGGAATCTGCAGGTGTCAAGCAGAAATTCAGTTAACTCCATGGCCATCTCTAAATTCTGACCACAGAATGAATGCAAAGGATAGAGCCTAATAGGTTAGGTCCCACCTATTTCGAGAGATGCCCAGCACAGATGTGAGTCAAACAGCCTTACCCTCTTACCTGTGCCTTCTTTTTTCAAACCCAGCATTTGACAAAGCTGTGCCTTATCTGGCCCATCCTGGGCTCTCCGGAGTCCCTTGATCTTCCCATACAACAGGTTCTGAATCAGCAAGAATAGGTCTGGCCTGTATTAAGGTTTTGGAATGGGGCAAACATAGATTTAGCCACTTTAAACAAATGTTTTTAATTGAAAAAGGAGAATTAAATAATTTTAATAAATAAATTTACATAATCAAAGATTCATTTAGTGTTGGATTTTTAAGAAGATAAATCAACCACAATAAACCACACATAAATATGAAAACAAATTGGTTTTGCCATTTTTCATAGCCAAATAATACATGGATTGCTATATCAGGGTCCATAGTTTTCTCAGCCAGTCATAGGTCATATCATGTGACAGGGCTGCCAGGTCTGGGTTTGAAAATACCTGGAGACTTCGGGGGTGGATACAGGGGTTTGAGGAGGGGAAGGTCCTCAGCATGGTACAATGCTATAGAGTCCACCCTTCAAAGCAGGCATTTGCTCCAGGGGAGCTGATCTCCCACAGCTGGAGATCAGTTGTACAAGCGGGAGATCCCCAGGCCCCACCTGGAGGCTGGCAACCCTATCATGTGATAATGTAACCATTCTAAGAAGCCAGTCAGATTTGGCTATGAATTGATGCCATTGTGGAGAAACAATGCCAGACACCTTGCCCTTGTTGTGAGTGAGTGCCGGCGACGAAGGGATAAGATGTTCTTATATTGCCAATAAAATGAGGCCGTTGCTCACCAAGTTGCTGTATTGTGGCAGATTCCTTGTCTTCCCTGTCTTCAGAAAATTGTTAAGCATTTTTGCCATAACTTCCCCAAAATGGAAGACTGGCAGTTAAAAGTTCGCACAAAAAGCAACCCTTTCCTCTACCCCTTTCAGCTCTACTTATGATTGACTTGGTATCCAGGTGCCTATTTCTTTCTTTATCACATTTGCATCCTGCTCCTTCAATGAAGCAGAATTTATGAAACAATCCTGTTTTATCCTCACAACAATGCTGCAAAACAGGTTAGGCTGACAGTAGCTTGCCCAGGGTCACTCAGTAAGTCTCATGCCACTGTAGGCCATTTTTTCTCTTTTCACTATAACCAGCTGTCAATGGAAAGAATGTATCGTAGGGCATACATGAAGTTCACATGATTTTTGAAGAAATTGGTTAATTCTAACTCTTTTTTTCCCTTTTCCTTTTAATCTTGGCATTGACCCTCCCTGACCACCCATTAAACCACCTTCTTAGCAACAACCATTGTTTTCCTGAATCACGTTACCAAGTATTTCTGTTCTTACACTCATGTAAAGGAGGATGTTGCTATACCATTTATGAAGCTGAGGAAAATGTTCCTTTTAATCATCCTGAAATTCAGGGAGCGTTCTAAGCTGAAGCCCCCAAGGAGCTCTGTTGTTGCCTGGTAAAGAATATTTACTTTGTGATTATAGTGAGTGACTCACCTCCATACGACACTATGCTTCATGCACAGGATAAAAGGAGCTGTCATACAGCCTACGTAGATGCTCTTTTCTTGAAAGGGAGGAAAGGGGGGAAACAGTTCCAGTTTGTCACGCTCCCTAAGGTACAAGAATATATGTTGTTGTTGGGGCTTCATCTGAGGGGAATGGGGAAGAACCCTATAGTCTTCATGCCTGATCTGAAGGATTTTGTGCTTTTAACATGTATATAATGTATTTTGTCAGTTTGTTTCCTACACTTGAAAGTGCTGCAGAGCAAAGTCATTTTTCAGTTTCACATTAAGAGATAATATTGATCCAGTGTCTGAAGAGCCTCTTGAACTTCTCACTGCTGCTGATTATTATTATTATTATTGCCATTTGTGGCAGAACAGACCCACTCCATCTGGCCCTCCAAGGTGTCTAGCCACCATAAGCCATCCAAGTCTCCACGTAGCAATTTCCTGGTCTCCTGGCCTGCCTGACCCGTGGAGGGGTTTTCTCTCCCTCTTTTAGTACCATCGCCACCAATTGGCTGTTTTAGGAATTGCTTGCTGAGAGGGCCAGTGCTCTCTCAACTTTCCTCCCTGTTGCCATTCTAAGGCATCACCTAGTGCCTGCCATCTCCTGCTGCCTGGTAAATGGTTACCTCTGTTAGGAGAAAGAAAAACTTCTAAAAACTAATCGAATGTTTTGTATACCCCAGACCTCCAAAGTAAAACACATTTCTCCACACCATTGTGTGAAGCATTTGAAACTGAAGACACAAGTGTATGTTACAGTCAAAGACTGAGGCAAGGCAATGAATTAAGAGTAGATGCACCGAATGCTGCTTGCCTGTCCATACACTCATTTCTGTTCACCCCTTCCTGTCAGTCCTCTCCTTCTCAGTGTTTCACATTTGCCATTCATGTTCTCTTCCCATAACCTCTTACAAAACTCCCCCCTGCGCCCAAAAAAGGCGGCTAAGAAATCGGCTGGCAGAGCAGCTGGTGGCCAGGAAGCAAAAGGATGGTGCGGGAAGCCAAACAGGCCAGTGAGCCCACGTGGTGAGCCCATTGTGGCAGCGGGGCGGTTGGGAGGAGCCCCACAGGAGGAGTGCCGGCACCAAACCAGGGGCAAAGCCCAGGCCCTTGGGGAGGGATGGGGGTGGTAGGACTATGAGGGCAGGCTGACCCCCTACCACAAGGCCTCCAATAGCCACAGTTTCTTCTCCAGCTGCAACCAGCACAGGCCCCAGTCGTCCTGGCGCTGGGCCCATTCATAGCCCCACAGTTCCAGCCAGGCCTACCTGGATGTGGCCCATAATGGGAGGGCCTTGGACAACACCACAATGGCCTCAGGGCACTGAGGGCCAGGGGGTGGGGCGGTAGACCCAGGACAACCCACAGCAGAGCATGCAAGCCTGGAGTTGAGGGGAGGGCTCCAGGAGCTCCAGAAGGAAGAGAACCTGTCCCAACTCTGC